ATAAGAAAGTTGGAAGATTGCCACACCCTGATTTTCATACTCATTATGAAAATGCAGCCCTCAAGACAGTGTGGTGTTGGTGCAAGTATAGAAAGACAGATCAATAGAACAGAATAGAGTCCAGAAACTGAACCACACATATCTGGATAATGGATTTTCAACAAAGATGCCAAAGCAGTTCAGAGGATAAAGGATAGTCTTTTCAATAAATGATGGTGCAACAATTTGATACTCATACATAAAAATAAAATAAACAGATCCATGTTTTGCACCATATGCAAAGATCACTCAAATAGATTATTGACTTAAATGTAAAAGCTAAAATTACAAATCTTCTAGAAGAAAACCTCTGTGAGCTTGAATTAGGCAAAGATATGACACTAAAAACAAGATCTATAAAATAACATTGATAAATTGCATTTCATCAAAATTTAAAATTCTGCTCTTTGAAAGACACTAAGAAAATAAAAAGAAAAACCCCAAAATGGGGAAAAATATATTTACAGAGCATATTTCTGACAAAGAATTTATATCCAAAATACATAATAAACCTCCAAAACTCGGTAACAGGAAAACAAGTAATGACAACAAAAACTGAACAAAATACTTGAACAGGTGCTTCATTAAGGAAGATAAGTGCATGAAAATAAACTTGATATCATTCTTCATCAGGGAAATGCAAGTAAAAATCGTAGTGAAATGCCACTAAATATTTATTAAAGTTGCTAAAATTAAAGAGAAATAGGTGAAGGGGGCAAAGAGACAGAAAATCTCAATCACATATAAATTAGTCACAGGGATGAAAGTAGAGAACAGAGAATACAGCTGATAGTTCTGCGACATCTTTCTATGTTGACACACACTGACTGCAGTAGTTGGTGTGAGCATTTAATAAGGTAGATTACTGCCGAATCACTGTGTTGTCTACTTGAAACCAATACAATACAGTTTATCATCTATACCTCAATAAAAAAATTGAAATAAAAATGACCATATCCAGTGTTGGTGAGGAGGTAAAACTCTCATGCCCTGCTGATGGGATGTAAACAGGCAAAGCCACTTGAGGAAGCATATGGAAAGGCATGTATGAAACACAAAGATTTGTTCAAAAAATCTTCAGAGCTGTTTTCATTGCAAGAGACCAAACTCAAAATAATCCAAATACCAATAAGAGGTGGATGGATAAACAAGTTGTGGTGTATCCACACAACGGAATAAAAAAGACCAAGATACGGTGGTGCTATAGATGACCCTGAGAATAATCGTGCAGAGTGGAAGAAAACAAACTAGAGGGCACGTACTGTTCGATTCCATTTAGATAAAATCCTAGGAAGTGTGAACTAACGTGTCGTGAGAGAAGGCACATCTGCGGTGGGGGAACCCCGGGAAACAAGAAGGAGAGATTACAAAGAGGCACAGGAGCTCTTGGTGGGGTGGAGGTGCTCAGTGTCATGAGTGTGGTGATAGTCCCATGAAGATACACACCTACCAGAACTTATCAAAGTCTATGTTTTTTATATGTTCAGCTTATTATAAATTAAAATAATTTGTACAGTTTTTAAGAATAAATTCTACTTAAAAATGCAATCAATCTTTTAAAAGTCACATTTCCAGAGGACTAAAAAAAAAACAGAACGATTTTCTGATGAAATATTGATTAAATTGTCCAAAACAAGCCACAGGATATGAATGGGAAACAGCTATGCTGGTTCTGGGTGGCGGAACAGCTAGAGGGCCTGAAGAAAAAATAGTGGCAGCTTAGCTGAACAGAGCTCAGTGGAGCGAAAAGTAGCTGCAAACCTCGCAGTGTCCCTCATAACCATGCTACAGGCGGAGGGGGAGAGGCAGCCCCTTCTAGTGCTTCGGTGTGTACTTCTCAGCACTTGGAAGGTGCAGCTGGCTTCCAGAAATGCACAGGTGGGACTGACTTGAGGGCAGATGGGCAGGGCTGGAAGCTGCAGATACAGAAAAAACACCATAAATCCAGCCATAACCTAAAACTAGAGGGAAGGGGGTGGAGGGGATGTCTCCCTCAGGCACACAGTTCAGCAGTCCCCATGGAAAGTGCAGCAGAGCCTGAGGTCCGATGGTTGGGTGAGCTCTTGGCCCTGAAAGGCCGGGTGGCCCGGAGCCGGTGTCCCTCCCCACCCCACTCTCCAGGCAGAAACAGAACCCAACCCTGGGGCTTGCCTCTCCCTGTGTCTCTGCGCACTCATCCGAAGGCTGAGAGGGAGCATGGAGCTTTGCGGAGAGGTTACTCAGGGCTGGCGCCGAACCCATGGGCCCTATTCTTCATCTCTCACTATTTCCAAACTTCTTTTTCCAAACTGGCCTGATTTTCTTTTCCTTTCTCTCTCTTTTTTCTCTCTCTCCTTCCTCACATTTCCTCCTTCCTTCCAATCTGCTTTAGATGCTATCTGAACAAAGCAGGAATACAAAAATCAAGTACGTGAAGGTCACTTTTCCAGCAAATATTTACTAAGGAGCCTCCACGTACTGGGAACTGGGATGGTCGCTGGGATGAGCAAATGGAGAATAGAGTCAAAGGGATAAACATGCCACAGCACATTGCCAAATGACCCACATATGCTAAAAGCAAACATGTAGAAATCTGTGATGGAGGGAGCCCTGGGAAAGGGCAGACAGACAGCTTTGCCCCCGAAGTACTCAGGGAAGAAGATACCATTTGAGCTGGACTTTGCAGAAGGAATAGGAGCTTGTCAGTCCAACAGGAAAGAAGTGGCCAGAAAAACAGGCATTTCATGCAGCAACACAAGTGCAAAAGCAAAAAGCAGTGAATGGAAGTTCCTATTGTGAACCCTAAACACTCCAGCCTGGCTGGAATATGACACGACATGTATCTGGGGCTGGAGCGGCCCTACAGGTGCCAATTAAATGCCTACTTGATCTGGGGCTTGTGTAAGCCACTAGCTCAGGGCCACCATTTTTTTTCCCTCCAGATTAAGATAGGTTTGAATTATCACTGATTTTGGCTTCAACTCTGTGATCTCATGATACTTACACGTGTCAGGAACGTCTTCCGTCTCTCAGTATGTGTATGAACCCATCGGCCTGACTTATCTACTGTATCTTTGGAGAGCGTGAATGATGAACCATCTCTCCCATAAATGATCAACAAGCAAATCTCACCCCTGAAGCCAGAGACGATTTTTGGCCTAAAGCCTGGTCTTTAGATGTAGTTAAGGATAAAGAGAGGTGATCTTAATATTTTCAGCAAGCAGTGCAGTTAAGGAAAATAATAAATGTGATGTCGGTGCAACTTTGCCAGCACTGTTAAACATGTGTCGCGATGCAAGAAGCATTATGCTATAGATAATTCTTCTCTCTGCCTGTCCTCCATCAGCCTTGTCCTCACGGAGGATGACAGGAAACAGAACATTCAGCAGGAGACCTGCAAAGGACTGCAAGCTGGTCCAGAGGCCAACCTCTGGCTCGTGCAACTCCCAGGGACCCGTGCTGTGCTCCCGAGAGCCCTGCCTGCTCTGCTACAGTGCAGAACTGCACACGTCAGCATGAGGAGTCCCAAACTCCCATTTTACAGAAGAGAAACCTTCCTAGGAGGCCTAAGAAATGGGTTCCAGACTGAGTCATGAAGAGAATCGTAGCCTCTTTGTGTAACTGAGCTTCTAGGAATCTGTTTGAAGGAAATTAAAAAAAACAAAAAAAGCAAAGATCAGGGAATCAGGTCCAGGATGGAATTTCAGCTCTTCTTTTTCCTGGATGAACAATGCTTAGCTAGATGGTCGCCTTCTTTGCATTTCCCTGTTAGATGGGGATAATAATATCTAGTGCAAAGGACTGCCACAAGGTTGGAGGGAATGCATGTGAAGGGCTTGGCATGGTGCCCAGTACAAATTAAGCACTGGCTAAGGACTCCACTATAATATATCCACGGCATGAGGCTTATAGTCTGTGTCCCTCTGGTGACAAATAAAAAAGGCATATTTCTTGGTGAGGTAGGGTTATGAAGTTAATACACGTGGAAAGTAAAATATAGTCAAACTGTCCTTGAAAATCACTTAGGAAGGTTCCATGGCAGACAGCAACATTTTTAGTGATTCCAACACAGCCAGTGGTTTGTTTTTTCTATTTTTTTCCCAACCCAGCAATTAAAAAAATTTTTTCACCACCCATTATTTGGTTGACCACCAGATAAAAAGTAATTGGCTTATGTTTCAAGACAATATTCTACCCAGTTTTTAGGGAGGCATGCAATGAAGGCAGCTGGCAGAAGGAAGAGCGCGCCCGTTATTTCCTCATCTGTCAAACGATAAAAACAAGGCAGCACTGGGCACCCTGCCCTCCTAACAACTTTATTATGAGGGCCAAATAAGAAAATGCAAGAAAGAAACAACTGTTTAGGCTCTAACATACGTGCAAAATGAACATTACTCAGCAGATCTGTCTTCATGCAAAACACTCCAGAAATTCCTGATTGCAATGAAGAAGGATGGAAACGATTTGAAATGTGATGGGTGATACTGGTCATCTCCAGTTGTAGCCCACATTTGGCTCCATAAGTAAAAGTCCAAGGGGATTTAGAGATGCCCAATCTAATCACAGAAATCCAAGTGCAATTTTGCCCAGTGGAAGTGTAACTGCACTTCATATTGATCTCTTCTGTATGAGCAGAATGGAGAGTTATTGCCTGGAAGGTGGACTCAAAGAGAATCCAAGGTCAAGTTAGGGTGGTGCAAATTACCTCTAGCTGGTGAGAAACTAAGATACCTACCCTGTGTCTGGAAGCTACCATTTCCATCAGGTCCCATATGCAATTCTAAAAGCCAGATGCATCTTAAAGAGAGTCTTACAGTCACTGACAGCAAGGCAGCATTAATGTTGTAGTTCTCACTAACTATGTATTCATGAACTGGGACATAACTGTTCAAATTGTTTCTACTTCTGAGTGTAAAACATTATGCAACAGCTCTTTCTCTAAGTTTAAAATAAAAATTTGAAGCAATCAAGAAGCATTGTACCTCATGTCATGACAGCATTTTCCCTGCTCTTCGTCCTCCTGGTTCTTGGTGGTTCATAAAATGATGGTGTTTCTTGCACTTGGTGGTGTCCTAGGTAACAGGAAATGCACATGAAACCCAGAGGAGACGTAACCGAGTTGCACTAAGTTTTAAGATTCTTCAATTTTCTCTTCAACCTGCTTCTACACTCACGGAACAGCTTGTAATTATAATCTAGCTTCCCCAATACCTGTCACTAAAAGGGGAGACTCGACCAACATTAGACATGAGTCTCCTAGGAAGCGTATTTCTCATACATCAGTAAGGATAGAGCCTGGCTTCTACTTCCACGGCTGGAAGGTTTGATGGGCAGGGTTGAGAACCTCGGAGTCTGATCACTTAAGTGCACTTCAGCAAAATGCAATCTCTCAGCTGGAAAATCTGTGCGGAAGATGCCAAACCACAGTGATCTCATCACATTTCTGTCCCTTTGCAAGGCTCTGCCTGGACAGCCAGCCTGGCTCCTACAGGACACCGCTTTCCTCTCTCTCTCTGTTTATCCGCCTCTGTCTTAGCACTTAGCTCTGCCTTCTTGCTCTAAATCTCTCTTATGTATCAGTCCTGCTGCTGCCTTCAGAGCCCGTCTTCCCCCTCTCCTTGCCTTGCTCTGTGTGGTGGGAGGGCTGACCCCATTTGGGTGCCATCTTCCAGGTCCTTGTTCAGCTGCTTGGGTTCAGCTTGGTTTCAGCTGGCACCAGGGACTGACAAGACATGGGAGGGTGAGAAACAGGGCACGGCCAGAACATTTCCTTCCTTCTCTTTCTTTCTCAAAACCTGCCCTGGTGACAGCTCACTGTTGGGCTGTGTCTCTGGCTCCCCCAGGGAAGCTCATGGTGGTTCTGGCTTATGCCAGGGGACCCCAGCCTCTTGCTTCTGATGCCACCACCTCCTCCCTCTGCCCTGCCAGCAGAGGGTAGGAGCATTTACTGCTGCTCCCAGTTTCTGTACTGCCTTTCTATTCTCTGCTTGGTTTCTCAGCCCTTCATTCCTGCATAACCAACATCCCATCCCACCCCGGCTGGTTGTTTCCCTGGCTGGACTGTGAGCATCAATGTCAGTATCCTCACGTGGTTATGAGCTGCTGCAAGTCAGGAACTCCCTCCCACATCTTTGTACACAGACCTCTGGGTGGGTGCCTGATAAATTGCCATCCAATGGGATTTAAAATACTTCATGTGAAATCCAACCTTCAGAACAGATAGACCTGAGAAGCTGTTCACTTTAAATGGAGACGTCTGCTACTATAGTTAATCTAAGACTTACTTTAAGAAAATCACATGTTCATGCCATTTCCAGAAGCATAGGCACCTGCAAAATCATTTCCTTTGAACAGCCCCTGATACTTAACAGAGCACCTAGCAGGTAGCTTAAAGAGAAGACTTACAGTCCTCACCCCTAACTTCTTGAGTGACAGTCCCGTTTCACAAATGAGGAGATTGAGGCTCAGAGGTACTGACACTACTCCAGGTTTCCACACTTCGCTTGAAACCTAGTCAACATGTAGTGTAGTAATTCTCAAACTTTAAGGACTTTAAGAGTCAAATATTTGTTAGGAATGCAAAGTCTGAGGCCCATACCCAGGGGATCTAATTTAGCAGGTCAGAAGTGTGGCTCCTTTACAGCATTCATGATACAAATACTCAGTTATGACATCCCCCTCTTGATTCTGATGCAGGTGATCCCACAGTTCCATCTTAAAGAACACTGCACTAAACATAAGGAAGATGTGTGTGTGTGTTAAGTTAGTTCATGGATACAGCCCTAGAGTCTTGCTAAAGAGATACAACCAGTAAATAATCTTAATAAATAATTGCAGAATTAATACATGAATAAATGAGTGAACATTACTATTTCACCTGAACATTTTCTATTACCATTTACTAGCTCACACTTTAGACACCATGCTTATTCATTTATTAAGTCACTCAATGAACATTTAACTCTTACCATAGGCCTGACCAGTGGTAGATGCTGAAGAATATGCAAATAGTGATCAAATATTCAAGACACAAGCCTTCTCCTTCACAGAGTTCCAATTACTGTAATGGAAGGACCAAGCAAGTAAGGACAACAGAGAGTTATAATAACATGTTAAAAAGGTGTTTTACGCATCTCTGTGCCGCAGTCAAATTAGGACCATGAAGTGGGGAGTGGTCAATTTCACCACCAGGAAGGAGGTTCTAGAAAGACCCCACAAAGAGGTAACACCATGATACATCTCAAAAGACGGGCAGATGTTTGCCAGTCACAGGCAGCGTGGGGGCAGCCTTGACATGTGAAGGTAGAGCTTAATCCCTCCCAGAAGCACAACTGGCTCTGCAGGACTTAGGTTCCACGTGTGAATCTCACACACGGACAGATATGCAGACCTATCTGATGTGACCCCCTCCAAGTAGTGCAAATGGCAGAAAGACTCCCCAGTCCGTGCTGGATGGCAAGGAAGAGAGTCCCTCTACTATGACTGTGCTTTCCTCTCCCTGCCCCAAATGTATACCGTTGTCCCCCTTGTCCTCAGTCTGACTTTTCGTGGAATCAGTGACCCATGGTCAGATGTGGTCTGGAAGCCCACAGTTCCACGTCACAATGCCTGCATTTTTCACCTCACTTCATCTTATCAGGTAGGCATTTTCTCATCTCACATCAACACAAGAAGGGTGAGTACAGCATTTTGAGAGAGAGTCACATACATGTAATTTTTATTACAGAATATTGTAATCCTTCTATTTTATTATTAGTTATTATTGTTAATCTCTTACTATGACTAATTTATAAGTTAAACTATCATGGGCATGAATGTATAGGAAAAAACAGTTGTCGATAGAGTTGGGTACTGTCGGCATTTTCGGCATCCACTGGGGGGTCTTGGAACCCGCGTGGTTGTGGGGGGACTAGTGTACACACTTGAAGGGGAAGAGGGATTCTCTGTTTATTTTATCCTTTAATAAGTAAGTGGTTAGAACTAGGATTCTAGGCCGAGGTGGCTAAGCCCAAAGGCTGGCCAAGCCCAAAGGCTGGGCTGCTGATCACAGCATTCATTAGATTTCAAGACACTTGGAAGTAAGAGATGGGGTGGGAGAAATAAGACTCTTGATACAACTTTTCCATTAGGTGGTTCCTGGGCTCTGCTTTAATGCAAACCCAAACATTCATCAGGTAAAGGTCACATGGGTGACCTGAGTTAGACATTTTTATCCTCACTGCCTCATTTTATCCTCAACGTGGTTTTGAAATTTGTATTATTTTCTTCTTGTGTAGGTGGGGAAACCAAAGCTCAGATGGGCCAAAGGGCTTGTCCGGGACTGCTCAGCTGGTAGGCTGTTCACCTTCAGCGATGAGGGCACTTGACCCACATGTCATTTTCTTTTTCCTGCTGCTGCTTTTGATGGAGTCTGGCATATCCAGATAATGATGTAATGCATACCCCATAGACCACCTATAACTACAAGGCAATTTAGCATCATCTCATTTCCCTTCCACAACGGTGGACATTATCCCCATCTTATAGCAAAGGTTACTGCAAATTAAATATGTTGGTGATTTGGCAAGACACACAGGCATGAAACAGTGGGGCTATTGAACTTAACTGCCCTCTTACTTTAGCCTGAAATTTCCATATTTAGAAGAAACCCTTTTGTTTCTGGATTGTTCTTATTTCCCCAGTTATTTTTCAAGTATAAATTTTATGCGGAAAACCATTACTGTTCACCCTGGAGTTAAGAGGTGTGTCTGGGGGCAACATTTGGCAGCTTAAATATTAGTTCAGCTGTAATCTAAGACCCAATTTTTATTCTCTGAATTTGTAAGCAGACCACTAAACCATGACAAATCTGACATTTTTTGAGGAACAAAAATATTTAAAATGTCCACAACATTAAACTTTAAAAATATTTGCAGCAACATTTTTCTATAAGCTTTAGTATTCCTCTTTAGTATTATCACATTTGACATAATTACACCTTGGAAATACCTCAAACTTGTAATGACATCCTTTCAAGAATTATTACTAATTATTGTACTTGACATGACAAATTAAACATGTTGTTTGATGTAATTACACTAAATAATTCAAAATGCTAATTATGCTTAGAAATAGCAATTAGCATAATTAAGTAAAAAAGAAAACCCAAACTACTGTAAATTCCACTGATTCAGTATCACAAAGTGGAATTTTCTAGATTTTAATAAAAATGGATTGATAGGACTTACAAAATTATATCTTTAATCAAAAATGATGAAACATTTCAGTGGCTTAGTAAGTCTAGCAGAGACAATGAAAGAATAAAAGAGAGAGACTTTGGTGTTTTGCAAAGGGCAGTGTCTATAGAGGGGTCAGACTTGAGTGTGAATCCCAACCTGCCCACCATGAACTGGGGAACTCTGGCCAGAGATGTAGTTTTCCTGAATATTTTTCTTCTGGAATTATATTTGCCTCTAGGCCTGATATAAAAATCTTAGCATTTCTATTTTCCTTCTACCACAGCTGACAGTAGCCAAGACATGGAAACAACCTAAGGGCCCAATAAAGGATAAGTGGATAAAGGAAGTGAGTGTGGACTGTGCATGCAATGGAATATAATACAGCCATAAAAAGGAGGAGATTCCACCATCTGTGAGAACATGGATGGAGCTTGAGGCCATCATACTAAGTGAAATAAGCCAGTCAGAGAAAGACAAATACCATGATTCCACTTACCTGCAGTATTAAAACAATCAAATGCATAGAATCAAAGAATGGTGTGGTGCTGCCAGGGGCCAGGGAGAAGGGAAAATGGGGAGGTACTAGTCGATAGGTTAAAGGTTCAGTTCAGCAAAGTGAGTAAGCTCTGGGGATCTACTGTACATATAGGATTGTTCCTGTGGTCAACAATAATATACTGTACACTTAAGAATTGGTTAAGAGGGTAGATACCATGTTAAAAGTTCTTACCAGGATAAAATGAAAATTTTTTGAAAAGCGTGAACTAACGTTATAAAGGTATAAAGTGCCAAACACAGTGCATGACCCCTAGGAAGGGCTCAGAGAATTCAGGTTCTCTGAATTCTACTTTCTAAAGGCAAGAATACATTGAATGAAAAATCCTAGGCTCCTTAGAGAGAAAAGAAAAGAGACTTAAGGTAGATCTAAAAAAATAAGTAATCTGAAAAGTCAGGAAAGTGATCTCTAATTTGTAGGTATGTGAGAATATGGTGAGATGATATTTGTAAACATACACCTACCAGAGTGCCTGGCACATTATCAGCTCTTCAAAATCGATAGGGTTTTTCCCCCACTTTTATAAAAATGTTTTAACTGAGATTCAGCAACTAAGTAAGTTGAATCTGGATTTGAACCCAGGTGCACGGGAGACTGATGTAGTCTCTTTACATTGTGCTGCTCTGTCTTACATTATGCAGAGGGGGTGGAGGTGGGGGTGGCCTGCACCTCGGCAGCCCCCAGTCGAGGACACCTCTGCACTGGCTCCTCTGGGCCTGCGTCCTCTGCCTGTGCCGGCTGCAGCTGGCCAAGCTGCTACATTTCTGAGACACAGCTCTCGGCTCCCCAGGGGAATCAGAGCCAG